GATTAGTCACACACTATCAATCACTACAGCTTCCAAGGGGATTACCACTCCCAAAAACTTAACTGGCTGAAACAGGCTATAAACTCAATGTTTTAAAATGATGTCAGACAAGATGAAGTAGAAAGCCATAAGGATGGAACACTGTCAAGAAAGAAGCATGTGGATTTCTGAAAATTCAAAACTGATTATCTAGAAATTATAGCGTGTGGCATTTTAAGTTACCAGCCCAAACAAAACATTCAATAGCAGATCAGAAACACACATGAAGGAAGAATAAGTGAAGTAAAAACTAGGTCTGAGGAAGTAAACTAAGATGAAAGACAGATAAGAGATACCCATCAAAAAACATGAACTGTGGTAGAAGACCTTTAAAGTGTTTACAAGTATTGCTAAAGAAAGGTCTAGAGAGAAAGGGAAGCAGGAAGCAGTATCCAAAGAACTTAGGGCAAAACTTTCTAGCGCTAATGAGAGAAACAAATCTGAATTAAAAGGCCCTGGTGTGACATATCACAGTGCAGAGGCATGCACCCATGTCCGATCCCATATTGGAGACAATCTCAGCCTAAAGTCCTCCCCTGGAATGTCTTTGTCTAATTCCAAAGGAAGCATCATCTATCACACCTGGCTGTAAGAAACTGGTTGGTGAGGCTAAGGAGTTGATCATTATTGTTATGCCTCTTGAGACTGTAAGGAACCTGAGGTTGAGAGAGGCTAACCCACTCTTATGAGACCCCCAGCACACATGGAAATTAGGGTTGGTTGGACTCCAGGCACTGTGTCTCAAGGGACTGCTCTCATAAACACCATGGTTTCTGCCATGATCCCAGAGGGCAAGGCTCCTTCCATCTCCAGGATCCCAGGATGCTGAGCCTCCCTCAGTGGAGCAGCCCTGGCCTGGGTCAGCCCTTCATTCATTCCTCAGACCAGAGGGAAGGACAGGCTCTGTTGTTCTAGTCCCTGGGATGTTGAGCTGAATCCCACAGCCACTGATCCTCGGAACTTTCAGGGATAGAGAAAGAGAGACAACTGACATCTCTATGGCAGGGCTAGGAGTGCTGCGATGGAGACTGCCAGGATGCTGGACAAGACAGGTGTGCTTTGGTGGGCTTCACAGGTATGGGCTCTCCTCCCCAGAAGAAGTTCCTAGAGGCCTCCCAGGGCTCAAGGACCACGTCAGATGTTAGGTGGCACTGAGGTCACATTCTGAGCCAGTTCCTCTACTCATTGACTGTGAGCTTCCAAACTCTGCCTTAACACCTTGCACTTCTGGTTCCTTCTCTCTGCCATGAGGGTGATGACAGGGGCCACTTCAAGGCAGATTTAATGACTCATTCCTTATCAAGCATTTAGCATCATGCCTAGCACTTGAATAATACTGTGCTTTAGTTCCCTCTTTCTTATCATCATTTAATATGGATTTTAATAATAACAAGTCCATACTTCTTGCCCAGCCTTCCCCACAAGGGGTGCAGAACTGACACCTCCTGCTCCAACAGGCAGCTGTTCTTCTCAGGTGCCACCAAGAAGGGTGTTTATAAAGAGGCAAAAGACTGGTTTCCAGGGACTGCTTCGGTGGTAAACAAGAGCAGGCAAGAGCTAATAAAATTTCAAATTAGCCATGACTTTTCACGGCTCTTCAATTGTGCTGGCTGATTTAACGGTCAGCATCACTGCTCACTGGGACTGAATAATAGGGCATTTCTGCAGAGTTATGGATGTGGCTGCTGAATCTGTCATGTGAACATCAATAGCAGAATGCAAATAACCTTCCGCCTGGGCTTTAATTATGTGTGTAAGCAATGGCTGACAGGGCAGCCCAGAGAGTACCATGGAGCGTGCTGGCCATGGGGAAGGCAGGTGCTGTGCCAGGTAGTCATGTCTGGGACCTGGAACAGTGCTGGGGTGAAGTGAGACCTTCCGCCAACATCTCAGAGTGAAGCTGGCAGGGTAGAATAGAACAAATGAGTCTAGGTTCCAGGTCAGGGAGGGGAACTACCGCTTACTAAGCACTTGCTGTGTGTCCACTAGCTATGCTAGATGTGAAGGCATGATTGGCGTTATTTATATAACAAACATTTATCTATATAGCAAACAAATATAAGTGTGTGGCACATACACTTACTATCCCTTTTTTCTTGCTAATATCAGAATTTTAATAGCTACATTAAGTCCCATATTGGTCAGTTATAAATTTAGAATAAAAATCAGTTGGTTCTATTTGTATCTCATTATGCTCTGTAAATGGCTATGTATTTTTTTATTTAGTCTCTTCAAAACATTTTCTTCCTCATTAAATTTTTCAATGACTCATAGATCATACAGTAGCATCATTTTCACTTGATCTTAGCCAAAAGGCCAAGAAGCAATACTAACATCATTTTCTTCAAGAAGATTCTTAATTTTTTCATTTCTTCAGTGACACATTAGTCATTCACTAGCATGTTATTTAACTTCGTGGCGTTTTTAATTTATTTTTTCTTCCTGTTGTTGGTTCTGTTTTTCACTTAAGGGAATGTACAATAACTATGTAATGGAGACTGTCATATCCAGTACCATGTATTTAACTTCAAGACATTGTAAATTTCTATTTTTCTTCCTGTTACTGATTTTGTCTTGTGACTTATCATTTAAGGGGATGTAGAGTAGCTGTATAGTAGAGACTATCATATCCAGATATGAGGGTACTGTCCTTTTTAAGAGATATGGAAAATAGACCAAAAATTTGAAGTAACTTGCCCAAGGTCACAAAGTATGAGTTTCAGAGTCAGGTTTTGGCCCCAGGGTGTCTGGAGCTGGAATCTATGTTCTTTATCCCTGTGCTGCCTTCAAGGATATTACAACTCCTGGGCACCAGGACAAAATGGGAGAGGAAACTAAGGGATTTTTGTCCGTCAGGTATTAAGGAAAAGGCTAGATTCCAGAGCAGTCAGTCAGCTTGCCTGAGGCCACACAGCTAGCAAGGAGGATCAGGGTACTGAGTCCAGGCAATGCATAATCAGAACTCTCATGGGTGGCAATAAATTCCACGAAGACAAAAGTGTGATGGCCATAGCAGTGCTACTCCCATGTTACTGATGAGTAGACCAGAGTCAGAGAGACCTAGTACAGCAGTTTGTCTAGGGTTACTGGTAAGGCAGCATGAAAACTTGAACCAGGGACGGCCTCCCCAAGAAGCCGTTAAATGTTATCAGGACAATAAGATGCTGGACTCAATGCTGGGTATATGCTTGCAATGAAAGAATCTCAACTGAACTTGAGCAGTGGTTATGCACCATGGGGGGAGGGTTGTGGGAGGAGCGGGGGAAATCCAAGCACCTATAAAACTGTATCACATAATACAATGTTATTAACAATAAAAAAAAAAAAGAAAAAAGAAAACTTGAAGTTCAATCCCACCATACCAATTACTTAGTTGGATTGAATTAACGTATGTTTTTTTTTGTTTGTTTGTTTTTGCTTTTGTGGCATTTGGTCTCTTATCTTGCTTCATTTGTTCATTGATTCATCCAGTTTCCACTCATTTGTATAGCAGTCATGTTTTAAACACATCTATGAGATGTGTTTTGTGTATGGTTAAAATGTCATTTGGGATGTCCACATCCCATATGTTGAAGTGTGTGGGTTCGAGTCCTGGAACTGCTTCTGATTCCAGTTTCTTGCTAATGTGCATCCCAGGAGTCAGGCTTCTGGTTCACTCACTGCTCCCCTGTGAGAGCCCTGGATTGAGCTTCTTGCTCCTGATATTGGCCAGACCCAATGGTGGAGAGATCTTTCACTTCTTCCCTATATCTCTATCTCCCTTCCAGATAAATAAAACAAATTTTTAAAAAATTATCTAAAACTAAAACTCCTACAGTTGGTTCCAAGAATATGAAGGACATGACCGGAACAGACACGTGCCCCAATAGTGATGCAGTTTGCCCAAAATCCCAGAGTTCTCAACTGGCCGTTTGAAATTTGAGCCCAGGCAGGAGTCCGTTCTGCTGTGTTCTACTTACAGCGCACACAGATGTAGACCTGGGCTTTTCCTGCCCCCCTGGATTTGTTACCCATTTGAGCTATTCTATTGGGTGCCTGTAAAAGCACTTTGGAATGATACCAAAAATCTGTGCTCTTATAGAATTTCATTCTTGGCACTTTAGGAGAATAGTCAAGCTGTAATATGATTTTGAGCCCTAAGGAAACCCATGCGTGTGGCAAAGAGAATTCCCTGTAAATGATAACAAAGAGAAGGCCAGACTGGGCCTGCAAAGGGCTGGGGACAGAATCTTGAGCTACAAAGGCATATAGCAGCCAGGAGAGATGCTAGGCATTGTGGGACCCCTACACCAACTCTGCCTCTTCCTCACCACCAAAGCCAAGCAGTTTCCAGACATTTCTCAGAACCACCTGCTTCCCTCCATGTGCACCATACTGCCTTAGTTTAAACAACCTTTATTGTCCCACCTGTGCAAACTCAGCACCTTCCCCCTCTCCTGACTAGCACAACTTCCTCTTGGGGCCTCCTCCAATTTCACAATGCACATCAGAGGCAGCCACCCTTTGCTTAAGACCTTCCAGTGCCCACTACAATCCTGATATTGAAAGGCAAACTCCCTCACGGGGTTTTCAAGTCTCCACAACCATCCCAGCAGCCTCCCCTTAGCTGTTCCTCTCTGCTCTGAGCAGCAACATGGGACTTTAGTTATTCAGAAATCTCTGTATTCTCATATTGTTTCACCTCTACGATCCCAATGGTATTTCTCTTATCTCTTTGGGAGGAGAAAAAACCTGCAGGACAAACACTAGACACTTATCTGTCTCTCCTACTGGACAGATACACTAGGACCAGGTCTGAAGTGCCTGGTTCTCCTTGGTGCTTCACAAAGACCTTGGCTTATATCAGCACTTAATGAAGCTTTTCAGTGACTTGGATCTGGAGAAGAAATGAATGGCTGCATTCTAGAAGCCATGGCTAATGGAACTAGCAATATAAACTATGTGCTCTGTCACCCCTACAGATGGCTTGGTGGACTGCATGGACCCTGACTGCTGCCTCCAGCCGCTCTGTCACATCAACCCCCTGTGTCTGGGCTCCCCTGACCCACTGGACATCATCCAGGAGACCCAGGCCCCTGTGTCCCAGCAGAACCTCCATTCCTTCTATGACCGCATCAAGTTCCTCGTGGGCAAGGACAGCACACATGTCATCCCTGGGGAGAACCCCTTTGATGGAGGGTGAGTCTACAAGCTGCAGCCCCAGCCAGGGCTTTCTGGAGGAGAACTAAGCCATCCTCTAGGGCCAGGCTGGGGTGGGGGTGAGGCGATAGGAGGAGGCCAGGAAGTGGGCATTGAAGGTTTCTGGTAGAGTGATGGGGGGAGCAGAGAAGCAACCTTCGGGTATCCTCAGATGCCAACCAAGGCATTTGGAATTTTTTCCTGTGAAATTGTGTTGCCCCTGCTGAATGATAGATGGAAAGAGTGAGAAATCAAAGGTCCAAGGGGAATCTCAGATCAATACCCACTTTGCAGTCAGTTCTTCCTGATCTTGAAGTCTTTCGATGAGGCTTGACAACATTCTCCCTGAACACAGATGTCCAGAAGGCTGTGCTAGGCTCTGGTGGAGGAGAGGGTGTCTGCTGGCATCCCAGGCTACACTGCCTCTGTGCCCTGCATCCTTGCCATTGTGACATTCACTGGGCATTGCTTAATTGAAGGCTTTTCTGTACAAGAGGGCATCCTGGGATCACAGAGATGAGCAGAGCATGGTCCTTACCTGTTGATCATGTCAGTCCTCTAGGGGACAGTTATGATGTGCAAGGCCAGAAATATGTTCTCACGGTACTAGAGCACAGAGGAGCTACTCCTGGGCAGGAGGAAGACCACAACTTGAAAAATAAGTCATGAAGATGAGAAATCATTTGCCAGACTAAAGGAGCAAGTGTTCCCAGCATAGGGAAAAGCTGGTACAATGTCACAGAAGAATGAAAGAGCGTGGGGGCTAATAAATGATAATTCCATCCACGAAAGACAGGTGCATTGTCAGGCAGTTGCATCTGGGAGCAGGGACAGTGGAGTGGAAAGGGAGACCATCCAGGCTTGATGTTTGAGAGTTGTGAGGAATGCTGGACAAGGGGGATGGGAGAGGGGTGCCTCCTATGCAGATGCCTGGGTGAATGTCAGCACTCTCCGCAGGAGGAGGACCTGGGAACAGACAAAGGTTTGGAAGGCAGGTGCTAACCTATACATTGAAGAAGAAACACTCCCTGGTCGGACATCCAAAAAGAAAGTCTGTTTGTGCTTAGCAAGTCATCTAGAATTCACACAGAGATTAGATTCATGTAGAGTTCTCCACTTGGGAAGCCTACAACAGGCAGCAGTTGAAATCATGAGCACACAAATGCTTGTTCCAGGAGCATATATAAGTGGAGAAGAATGAGGCCTGAAGAAGAGAGCTATGAGGACATCTACACGAAACAGCTCTTATCATTACAGAGTGTAACTGGTGGCAAAGGGGGAGGCGCATGTACATGAGGGAGCCACACCTTGAGTTCTTTTCATCAGTTGGAGGTCCCTACAGTGTTGCTTGCTCAGCCTTTCTTGGTTGGCCCCATCTTGGGACATGTTTATGGCTGTGTTTTGCTGGATGCCAAGGACTATTCTGATTTTCTGAGAGGAACCCATCAGGGCTAGACCCTGACATGCCTGCACTGGACCCAGTGGACCCCTTGGCAGTGAGGATGGTAGAGGACTGGAGTCAGGCTAAACTGGGCTTCAGATCTCAGCTATGCCATTCCTAGATACAGAACTTTAGGCTCACACAGTGTGTGTTAGGCATGTCTTCCAGCTTCTCAGTACAGAGTCCACAGGGAAAGCATTGTGCCTTACTCATTATGCCACTTAGTAGTTCCCTAAACACACACAGGGTCTTTAAAATGTTCATTGAAAACATGTTATGAAATAACTGTGCCTAGACTTCAAAAATGTTTGCCCTTAAATAAACCCATCTTCTAATTTTGCCTTTCCATGGAGTTTTTGAAGTACAAAGAATGGATGAAGGAGGTGAGTGGGAAATGGATACAGTATCTGTTCTCTTAATTCCATCTCAGGATTCAGAGTGCAGGGAGACTCAGTCACTCACCTGCTACAAACCCCGTTAGGGATGAAAAGCAGAAGCAGACATGGAAGTAAGTTCCCAAACTATAGTTTAGACATCTGCCACCTTCAGTTAAATTAAACACCCTGCAAAAGCAGGAGGTATTCATCTCTCCAAACCGCTAATACTGTGGGCATGGCCCAGAGCAGAGTATTTGCTCTACAGATGAATAGATAATGGAAGCTTCCAAACTGTTATTATAGAAATTCCTCACCACAGTCATTATGCTCCTCCTCCATGGTGAGCCAGATGGAGAAGAAACAGCTATCACAACAGATCCCTGAACAGATTCGCAGAAAGAAGTCTTCCAGATGGCTAAGTCACCTAGCAGTGTGAGGATGTGAACACTTTGGGTTAGACTACCTACTTGGATTTCCATTCGCCTAGCCTGGGCTGGAAGCACAATGCTCATTTGTGCAGGTGGGATGAAGTAAGTGACTGGTGACTGTGTTTGAGTCATTACTGGCTCTCCTCTCCTATGAGGAAGAGAGAGAAGGCAGGGGATGGGGCTTGGGGAGTACCAGAGTAGATATGGCATCTGCCTGGATTGGAAGGCCAGGGCACCCACTTTCTTGCTACATGACCTTGGAAAAACTTTCTAATTTAACTGACTTCTGATTTCCTCTGCTGTAAGACTGGGGTGATCGTGTGTCTGTCACAGAATTGCCCTGAGGATTAAATGGGAACAAAAAGTACATGAAGTCTCAGGCTAGTGCCTGCCATCCAAAAAGATGCTTACTAAATTACATGAAAGTGGTGAGGATGAAAGAGATGGTGATAATGATAAAAAGCGCTCTGGGTACATATTTAATACAACAGTTTGTATGCCTCTTGGAGCACTCACATTGCATAGCAGTATCCGATTCAAATCCTGGTTGTCCTATGTCCAATGCAGCTTTATGCTAATGTGTGCCCTCAGAGGCAGCAGGTGATAGCTGACGTGCTTAGGGTCCCTGCCACCCTCACAGGGAGACCCCAGTGAGGTTCAGCACTCCCAGCTTTAGTTGGGCCAGCTCTATCTAACCAGTATAGGCATTTGGGAAGTGAGCCAATAGATGGACGATTGCTCTGTCTCTCCATCGCCATCTTTCTGCCTTTCAAGTAAAGTAAAATATATATTTTTTTTTAGAAAACAAAAGAATGGCTTTCAGTTTCACTTCCTTAATTGGCAATGGAATTTGAAAGTGTCTGCCCTCCAGGAAAGTCCAGAAGCTATACAGAGAGGAGCAAGACTTGGGTTGTTGCGTCACTATTGGAGGAAAGGAAGACAACACCTTCTTGCCAGCCAGCTGTCAGCCAGGATCCTTATTAGAGATGAAGCCAGTGACCCCTGTCCAAAGAGTAGAACATCTGATGGGCAGACAGACCAGACTCAGTGCCTGTGTATATAATAACAAGGCCTGTGTCTCCAGCACTCCATATGCTGCACCGACCTCCAGGAGGCAGGCTCCTACCCAAAACCTCAGCAGCATTGCTTAGACCAGCAGGCGACATAGGCCTCAGTGGTATTGCTCCTATATGCTGCAGTTTCCCAACTGCTAATCAAGCCCAGCAAGCCTTAAGCAGCAGGCATGCCGGGACCTCTGCCACTGGGATAGGAGGAAGGGGATGAGGGGAGTTCAAGGCCAGTACTTTGAATTGACTTGACTGTCCTTGAGTGGTAGAAGCAAGTCAGCCAGTCCTGGACACTGAGTACCCTCCCCAGAGCTCCGCCTGATCCCATACCTGGACAAAGGGAGCAAGTCAGCCAGTCCTGGGCACTCAGCACCCTCCATAGAGCTCCACCTGATCCCATGCCTGGACAGAGGGAGCAGGAGGCTCCCTGGAGTTGCACAGGGGTGCCCCATGCTGTCATACAGCACCCCAGCTGGTGCCACAGGTACTGGAGCAGAGACAGCCCAATCAAGGATAAGGAAGCGGCAGTTCCCTAGATGGGAGGGCCTCAGCCAAGCAGAGCTGACTCAGGACTGAGGCAGAAGTACTGCCAGGTGGACTTAGAGTGAGGAAGGCCCCCCTCAGGAATTCTCACACACTCTGCTGTGTGCTCAGAACCCAACATCTGCCTATCCTGGAGCAAATTTACTGAATACAGTAACCCTATCTGACATTCTGCTCCCAACTCCACAGAAAAGGATACGATCTCCCTGAACTGATGCAAAGTAGAGGGGCATAGGTTAGGTGGTGCATATACCATCCTTCTCCCCTACCTGCTATACACCTGTCTTCCACCTGGAACGGTGAAGAGAATACAATGAAGGGTGCTTGATATGGAGACTTGCAGGGTGGGTACTGAGGTCTATAGGTGACTCTCACACACTCGACAATGAAGAAAATCATGATGTGGCCAGGGAAAATATTTTTCAAATCAGAAATTGAGAGACAAGCTGTGACATTTGAAACCCACATGCTCTTGGGATAGATACATGGGGCATGTGATGGTGTGTGCAAAGAGCTTATGGGAGAAGGAAGAAGACAGGGCAAGAGAAAGCTGGGCATGTGGATAAGGAACAAAAAAGGGAAAGAGCTAGATCCTCTGCTGTTCACAAACTGAGCAGGAGTGTCTCATCTCAGGCAGGACTGAAAGACGGCCTTGCATGGAGGACAAGTAGCCCTAACACACACGTCACAGTGTCCAGGCTTTGTGAAAGCAGGCGCTGGCAAGCACGGTGGTGGCAAGGCAGGAGGGATGATTCTAGAAGTACCATCTTCCTTATCCCACCACAGATCTGGGATGCTAGAGCAAGGAGGGGACAGAGCAGCTCTGTTAGCACATTTGCTCCTATTCCTGCACCCCGCCCTAGGCCTGAGCCAGCCCTCAGGGAGCTCTCTGAGATACCAGCAGTGGAGACTATCTAATGGACTTCAAATAAACACCAACTTCCTGACAGCTGGCCTCTGAGCAAATTTATTATTGAATTATACTCACGCATTTTCAGAACAAGCTGAGCTGACAGGCTACCCCATCAGGTTTTTAAAAAAAGGAAAGAAAGAAAGACAATGATAAATTACCTGATGGGAGATGGAGGAAGGCAAGGATCCTGCTTCTGCCAAAATCTCAGCCATCATATATTATTCATGTTGC